AAATAGTTTGTTTGTTTTTTTCTAGTTGTAACCAGTTAGAAATGTAAATGAGAAAACATCTCACAATTACTATATGATGTTTGAAATATCTAGAAATACAGATTTAAAAAGAAAGGTATGAGATCTTTAAGAACTATGGATAGTCCAAGGATATGAAATAAGACTGCAGTGAATGAAGGAATACACTATTCTTAGAAGGGAGTAATATTTAATAGCAAACAAAACAAAAACCAGTTCTTCTCATATTGACGTAAACAATGCTATTTTAATCAAAATCTAGGTCAGAGAGGGAACTGGATGATCAGATGTAATAAAACAGGGTAATTGGCATTTCCATCATTTCAAATGTTTGTCATTTCTTTGAGTTGGAATCATTCAAAATCCTTTCTACTAGCTATTATGAAATATTTAATCAATTGTTGTCAACAATAGTTATTGTACTGTGCTATCGAACAGTAGAAATTTATTCCTATGGTGGACATGGTGGTAATTGCTTGTAATTCAACCACTTGGGAGGGAGAGGCAGGATTGAGTTTGAAGCCTGCCTGCACTACATAATAAGACCCTGTATACAACAAAACAGTTACTTCTCTATGCAACTGGACCGCTGTACCCATTAACATTCCCTCTTCCCTTCTCCCCTGACCTTCCTAGCCTTTGGTAACACTGTTCTACTCTTCTATGAGATCAGTTTTTTAAGCTTCCATATATATATATATAAGTAAGAACATGCACTATTTATCATTCTGGGGCCAACAAAGTTTTGCAAGTTTAACCATAGCCAAAATTTTCCCAGGACCTCCAGCATGCTAAGTGCTCTATCACTTGAGTCACATCTCCAGCCTTCTTAATCATACTTTGTTTTAGAGATGGGGTCCTGCTAACTTTGCCCAGGCTGGCCTCAAACTTTTAATCTTCCTATCTCTGCCTCCCAGGTAACTGGGATTATAGGTGTATGCCACCATGGCCAGCTAGCCAAAAATATTATACAGAAGGAAGTTGTGGATTAGGGATTTGCTTTAGAGGATATTAAAACTTAAAGCCACTGCAGTTTAATTTCCTTTTTTTTTTTTTTTTTTTTTTTGGTGGTATTGGCCTCACACTTGCTAGGCAGGTGCTGTACCACTTGAGCCACTTCACCAAGAACCATTACAGTTTAAAACAAAACCAATGATGTTGGCACAGTAATGAAACAGTACAGCTAGCTGGGTGCCAATGGCTCATGGCTATAATCCTAGCTACCTGGGATTGAGAGGATCAAGGTTTGAGGCTAGCCCAGGCAAATAGTTCTTGAGATCCCATCTCTAAAATAACCAGAGCAAAATGGACTGGAGGTGTGGCTCAAGCTGTAGAGTACCTGCTTTGCAAGCATGAAGCGCTGAGTTCAAATCCCACTTCTACAAAAATAAACAAACAAAAACTACTGCTGGTTTATGTTTTGCCACCAAATAAGTTTTAGGGAAAAACTTGTTTTCTTAAAGCCTTTGAATCTTCACATTTCTAACAAAAGGGACCTACATTTCATTAGTGAAATAATAGTTCATGTTTCTGGAAAAGAAGGTTGGACCTCTGCCTCATATCGTATATTATATATTCCAGAAAAAATATGAAAAGTTAAAGATCAGGAGAAAGATCAGAAAAAAAATTTAGATTATTTGTTTGCCTTGAGTGTTAAAGGAAGCCTTCCTGAGCAAGCCAGGAAACCCAAAGGCCAGAGTTGACCTTACAGAAATGCTGGGCAGGTAGCCCGGTGTGCATATGAGAGCATTCAGACTTGCTGCTGGGTAGGGAAATGTGACCAGAGGCAGCACATTCTTTTCGCTTTCATCTGACAGCAAAAGTATCCCCTAGTGATAATATCCAGTGCTGATGGGGCAGGCAAGAGTGACCAGTTCATTATGGTTTTTGAGACAGGGTGTCACGATGTTGCCCAATCTGGCCTTGAACTCCTGCCTGCACTTCCCAAGTAGCTGGGACCACAGGTAACACCAATTTTTGAGACAGGATATCTGTGTTGCTGTGTGGCCCAGGCTGGCCTGGGACTCTGCTATTCTCCTGCCTCCACTTTGCAAGTGCTGGGAAGTGCGTGGTCTCAATACAAGCGGAGGAGGCATGACTAGCACTTTTTTTTGCAGAATAATAAGGCACTATCATTTTAGGAAACCTTACTTGGTTAGAATTAAAAGCACCACTCCAGTACCACCACCACCACCACACACACAAAATTAAAAACATCAATCTGGGAAGTATTTTAGTTCAGTCTCTCATTGTTGGTTGTTGTCAGGAAAATCTAGAAACAACTGTGTCAGGACATCTGCGCACTTAAAGGGAGGAGGATAATGTATTGGCCATTGAGAGTTGCAGAGGAATGGAGTTTGCAGTAGTACTTTTGATTTTGTGTCTTTGTTAGGAACAGTCATGAGGTGTTATTTCCTCTAAGTAGCAGAGAAAATGTGTAAAGAAAAAAGTGAATGTGGAGCCAGGTGTGATGCCTCACATGTAATCCCAGCTACTTGGGAGGCTGTGATGGGGAGGATCAAAATTTGAGGCCAGCCTGGTCAAAAAGTTAGCTGGACCCCATGTCCATCAATAAAGTGGGGCAAGGAGACTAGTTCAAGGGGTAGAGTGCCTGCCTAGCAAGTGCATGGCCCTGAATTCAAACCCCAGTATGGCAAAAAAAACAAAGTGGGAAAAGGAGTAGAAGAAATATTAATTGACATGTCTTTTCCACCCCACCCCACCCCACCCCTCTGACCTTAGGCTTGCTAGGCAGATGCTCTTATGCTTGAGCCACTCCACCAGCTGTTTTTTGTGATTTTTTTTTTTTCCAAGATAGGGTCTCACCAACTATTTGCTCAGAGCTGGCTTTGATCAGCCATCTTCCTGATCTCTGCCTTCTGAATAGCTAGGACTACAGGCATGAGCCACCAGTGCCTGTGACATGGCTTTCTGACACATGTAAAAACATTTGCCTGGGGCTCAGTAGAGTTCCTGTAGGTTGGCTTTCCCACACCAACAAAAATAGCTTCATCTTCTTCCAACTTGTGCCTTTATGATGATGAAAGTGAGATTTGTGTGGACTCCCACCACTCAAGAAATGACTCTAATAGCTGGTTGAGTAAGTAGCTCAGGTGGTAGAGCCCCTGCCTACCGATAGTGAGACCCTGAGTTCGGACCCTAGTACTGCCAAAAAAAAAAAAAAGAAAGAAATGACTCCAAATGCTGATATAAATTCTTCCAGAAAAAACTACTCAGACATGGTGGCATACCTATAGTTCCAGCATTCAGGAGGTTGAGGCCCAAGGATCGAAAGTTCCAGGCCAGCCTGGGCTACATAGCAAGACCCTGTATCAAAAAAACCCAAAAGATTCAGGAATGACACACAAACTGTCATACCATACGTACTCTGTCAGCAGAGCCTGATTTTTAGGGCCTGCACGGTATTGTCATGTATTCTTCTCCACTGAAGAACATCTAGGGCACTGTGCCCCTTTACGTAAGTTTCCCCCCATCATCTCCCCTTTTAATGACATCCTAATTAATCTTTGCTTTCTCCTAAAAAGGGGGGCGGGGTATGACATTTAGGTGGTTTGTAGTTTCACTCATACAACCAGTGTGCATACAGTTCTTAAACTCAAGGATAGGAATTTCTGGAGAATTGGTAGTTTTGATGCATTCTGTCAAACTGTTACCCAAAACGGTGTGAGCAGTTGATCCTCCCACCAGCACAGAAGTTTCTCCCCATTATTACTGTGTGTTGGTGTTTTCGATTTTGAGAAATGGTGTCACTATGCAGCCTAGGCTGGCCTTGATTTTGCTGTTGTGCTTTAGCCTCCTGAGTTTTGGGATCACAGGAGTGGATCACCACACTTGGCCACTGCCTGTATTTCTTCATGTTCAGAATCCAGTGGGTTAAAGGGGTCATACATTGTTTAAATACATTGTTTAACCATATTCATGTTTTTATAGTCTCCCTATTGATCCTAAACACCTCTGTGTATTAGAGCAGTTGGCTCCTTGTTATGGGCTGCTCATTTGGCTTTTAATAGATTTCTTAATTTGTTCACTACTTGTATAGTTTTTAATGTAAGCAAATGTGATTTCTGCAATAGGACCGTAAAGCTATAGAACTATAGATGTGTCCTAAATCAGTCACACATACAGTAAGTATGATGTGGAAGGATGGAGCACTTGAGCAAAGATCAGTTCAGGTCGTCGTTCCATGTTTGTAGACTGGCACAGTGATTGTACCTGAGATGCACGTTCAGCCCCTAGGTCTGGTGGGTGGAGGAACGCTGTCCGGTCGGGTGGGTCTTTCCTGGCTGCTGGAGCAGCCTCTCCAGCCCTTCCTGCCTGCCCGCAGCTCATGATGGAGCAGTCCAAGAAGTCCTCACTCATGGTGGCCCGCAGTATCCTTAACAACAAGCTCATCAGCAAGAAGCTGGAGCGCTATCTGAAGGTGAGTGAAGGCACAGGCCTCCCCAGTCCTGTGTAGGCCACGTCCTGGACCCCAGCCCGGCCCCCAGCCCCGCCCCCGCGGGTTCTCCCTTGCTTCAGTGTCTGCACCCGTCCCTGCAGGGCGAGAACCCTTTCACCGACAGTCCCGAGGAGGACAAGGAGCAGGACGAGGCGGAGGGCGGCGCCTTGGACGAGGGGACACCCGGCGAAAAGGCCGGAGTCGCGGAGGGAGCTGAGGGCGTGCCGGCGCCGCCCCCCGTGCCCCCGGAGCCGGCCCCCGGGACGGCGTCCCCACCCCCGCCTCCTCCCCCCCCCGAGGAGGAGGAGGAGGGCGCCGTGCCCCTGCTGGGCGGGGCGCTGCAGCGCCAGATCCGAGGCATTCCGGGCCTCGACGTGGAAGACGACGAGGAGGGCGGCGGGGACGCCCCGTGACCCAGATCGTGGGCGGGCAGAGCCCGTATAGCCAAGGCTACAAGCCTCGCCTAATAAAGTTGCTCCCAATCCATCTGCTCGTTCGTGTTGTTAGTGGGTGGCGCGGGCAGAACCCGGGAGCGGGAGAGCGGGGTGCGCCTGCACAGGGGAGGGAGGACCCAGCCGCTCCTAAACGCTAGCTCGGCCCTAAGACATCGCCCGACCACAACTCCCGTGATGCTGTGGGCGCCGAGCCTAGCAACCCAGAAGGCTAGGTGGGGCGACGGGGCGGGTTCTTCCCGAAGATCAGCCAATAGTAGCGCATGGAAAGAATGACGAGTGCTCCTGGCCATCCAGTAGCGGACGGCGGGAGGTGCGTTGAACGCATGCGTCTTGAGGAAAGCTAGAAAGAGGGTCTGCTGGCGGGACGCGTCGAAGACATGGAGCAGGGTTACGGAGGTTAGTGTTGGTTGTGCGGTGCGGAGCGGGAAGTTGCTGTCCCAGCGACGAAGCCGCAGCCGCATGGGGTTCATGGGTCGGGGCCTACGGGTGCAGCGCGCGCGTGCCACTCATTGGGCTTCGGCGTAGTCTCTTCCCTGGGCTCTGCGTGCGGATTGGCCGGCGAAGCTCGAGAAGGTGGGCGAGGCTCGGCGGGCTGACGCTCCAGCTGGCTTCTGGGGGCGCCTTGGGCCGTTTCAGTCCCTAAACCCGGGTGGGTCCCGGCGCTGCCCTGCCCTAGCGACCCTAGCATTGGCAGTCCCGCCTTCCTGTTCGGAAGACGCCACAAAATGGCGGCGCCGGTGGGGGTGGGGGAGGAGCTTCGGCGCGCGGTAGTGCGATCCAGCCCTGGGCAGGGGGTTTCTGTGATCGCGGGCTGAGCGTGGGGCCCTCCTCGCCAAGCTTGCCGCGCCTGTTTTAGGCCCGCGGGGCTCGGCTGGACCTCCCTGAGTGCACGTGGCCTGGAGCGCCCGCTCCGGAAGCCGTGGGGACCTCGCTGGTTTAGACCTATCGCTGCCAGCCCCGCGGTGCTGTGTTCCCGGGGGGTGACTTGGCTGATCCTTTCTGTGTGCTGGCCGTGAGAGAGAGAGAGAGAGAGAGAGACGATGAGTATCTTGTACAAAGCTGGAAGCCTGATATTCTTTGGTCTACACAGGTTGGCCATTCTTCAGATATCTCTTTATGGTGGCCTGGTGGGACCAAGGGGCTCTATAGAAGGGAGCGGTGTCCGTTTCCCACTTAGCTTCAGTGTTGGTGCAGTAGGGCCCACCTTTTAACAGAGTGGGATGAGCATAGTCTGCAGACATGAGCAGAGTAAACCTCAACTGCAGGACAACGAATCAAGTCTCCTGGATTCAGGGGCAGCACTTGTTGAGGGCCTACTATGTGTCAGCACATAGTAGACATTCTGTTAGTGATGGTTGGGGATTGTTCTGGAAACGAACATAAAGATAGATCCTTGCTTCATCAAAATGAGGTCCTTTGAAGACACGGGCAGTCAGCCTCCTGTGCCAAACTGGCCTTCCAGGGACACAAAAATGAAAACACAATTTCCAAGCTCCAGTCTAAAGGGGCAAGGAACACAGTCTGATGCCTTGAGACCAGGCTGAGGGTCTGGAACACAAAGACTCGGAAGAGTATTGGAGGGTTTAAAGTCACACAAGGGAGTCCTAGGACTGGAGGTGTGGCTCAAGTGGTAGAACACCTGCTTTGCAAGCTCAAAGTCCTGAGTTCAAACCCCAGTACCACAAAAAAGAAAAAAAAAAAGTGAGTCCCAGTGGGGCAAAGTTTATGTCAATGAATTCCTAAATTCATTCCCAGTTACAGGATACTTCAGGCAGCAATCTGAGCTGCTTTCTTAGCTGTGTGTAGGTGGGCAAAAGGCCTGGAGGACTGTGTCCAGATAACTGTGCAGCTTTGTCTTGTGCAATACAAGTAAGCTACTTCCCCTCTTTGTGCTTTGACCTCTTGGGCTGGTGGAACGTGATGGTGGAGTCTGGTAGGAGTGGCTTTTAGGGGGCTGGTATTGCTGTATTATAACGCCTTCTCGTAAGGCTGCACTGACTCCTAGGAGGAGATCTGTTTAGATTCCTCAGTGTCTTTGAAGTCCCCGTGCTCCATAGGCTCTTAACACATGGTCGTCTTTTACAGGCTATGGGGCATGGAGTGCTGGACCTGCCAACACCCAGGGTGAGTAGGTCCTGTTTGGTAAGGGGCTTAAGTGGTAGAGTGCTTGCCTGATATGCATGAGACCCTGGGTTCTATCTCCAGCACATCATTTCCCCCCCACCCCAAAATGAAACATTGGACATTGGTGGGTTAAATTTGTTACAATTAATAAGCTAATGCTGATACGTTAATGACTATAGTCTTATGTTAACATTTACTTTCTGTATTGTATTGGTTTGAGTTTTAGGTGATAGCTTTCATTGTCAAAACTGGTGTCACTGAATATTCTTTGGAGGTGTTTTTCTCTGACTATTTACAAATATAAAACCCATTTTCAGCTTGAAGTCTTACAAAAACAGGCAGTGGGTTACATGTGACTCTGAACTTTTTCTTGTTTTTCAGTACTAGGGTTTAAACTCCGGACCTAGTGCTTGTGAGACAGGTGGTCTACCACTTAAGCCATGCCTCTAAGCCTGGCCCAGGGCATTTTGCTGACCCCTGCCCTAGAGTCTGAATCATAGCATTCAGCTTGTTTGTAGGACTTGAATGGGCTTTCTAGTTGGCGAGGTGGGGTTTTTTTGTTTCGTTTTTTGGGGTTTTTTTTGCTGTCTGCCAACCCCTGTGTTCCAGGGTACAGGGACTTTCTTTGTTTTCCATGCTTAGGGTGTGTCCCTAGCACCATTGGAGGCAGGGTCACTTTTCTACCCATCACCTATGTTCCAGGAAGAAGCCTCCCAGGTCACCCATGGCACATAACATGCCCTTGCTCAGTTGAGTTGAGGACATGATTTTCCACCCGTGCTTTGTTGGTGTGGCTGGCAGTGCCTGGGTTCTGGCTCCTGGTGAGAACTGAGCCTGTATAAGTGATCTGCCTGGGACCCTGGCCATACTGGTCACTCAGCTTGTATTCCACTTCAAATCAGCTTCCTGGGGCGTGTGCTGCCTCTGTTCCCTGGCTGTCATTGAGGGAGTGGAGCTTGCCTGAGAGAGAAGCTCTGATACTGTTGGGTGTGCATTCTGTAGGAAATATGTGTACCAAGGAGCAACCAAGGGTGCTTCCTGAGCACTGCCACCACAGCCCTGGCTCTGGTGGAAGAGGGGACAAGTGTCCCTCAGGGAAGTGTTGGGCACTGTTGTTCTGCCAATAGAACTCGTGTGTTTTTGTTTTTTCTAAGGTACATTTGGAAGTGCTGTGGCCAGTTGGCAAGGTAAGCTCTTCTAAGGGTTAGCAGGTGGGCAGAGGGGCTGGGATGCAGGCTACCCCATCCCCATTCCTTCTTGTGGCTATGGGCAAAGCTCTCCTGAGGCCCAAGACCTGGCTATCCTCCAGGGGAGCGTGGGGGTGAAGGGGGGTTGTGTTACGGGATCAGTAGCTCTCCCATGGGTCTGTCAACACCCTGAACTGCTGTTCCTGGGCTCTCAGTCACCTGGTTTTGGATAAGGAAGCAAGTTCTAGCGGTTCAGAAAACCTGCTGATCGGGGCTAAGGCTACCCCTCTCTCTAGCCTCCTGCTCCCTTTTAGCTTGTCACATGGTCAGTGTGGCGTGATGCCAGAAGTACTTGGTCCTGTAACCCTTTTCCTTCTTGGTGCACAGTGACTGCTTCAGCAGGTGTATGTGCTGTGAGCCAGCCTTGTGGCTGCTGAGGCCTGACTTGACTCTTCCCTCTGACAGGTTATGACAACTACAACTACTACAGTGCCCAAAACGCCACTGTCCCTGCAGGAGCAACATATAACTATGGCCCAACTTCATGGGAGGCTACCAAGGCCAGTGATGGTAGCCTGGCAGCTGGAGGCGCTGCCGTGCACATGGCCTCTTATGGCCCAGAGCCATGCACTGACAATTCCGACTCTCTCATTGCCAAGATCAACCAGCGTTTGGACATGATGTCCAAGGAAGGAGGCAGGGGCGGGAGCGGCAGCAGTGGGGAGGGCATACAGGACCGGGAGAGGTGATTATGGCCTTGAGCTCTTCCCAGGGGACCCCTGCCCACATCTGCCCGCTCTTTAGAGAGTGCTCTTCCTTGCCTCTCACCGACCTAAGTGTGGCAGGAATGAGTTGGACCCAATGGGGGAGGAAGACAGAGCATTGCAATAGGACTTCCTTGCATGTTTCCTAAGTGGCTGGTTGGCTAAACTGAGTGACCCCAGATTCCTTATTTCTGTGTTTTACCATTCTCATGGTCAAGGGCTCTGCAGCATTCAAAGGCAGGTGTTCGTATGTTTTGCCTTCTGAGAATTTAGGTGGGATACATGGTGGTTGGTTTCCTGTTGTAAATGTAGGGAGGTCACCTTTGTGGGAGGTATTGAGGTTGTGCCAAGGGAAGACAGTTGAACAGCCTGGGTGGCTGAGCAGGGCCACTGGCCACCTTTGATGGCTTGTCCTTCCTTTGCAGCTCCTTCCGCTTCCAGCCATATGAGTCCTATGATTCCAGGCCTTGCTTGCCTGAGCAGAATCCCTATCGCCCCAGCTACAGCTATGACTATGACTTTGACCTGGGGACTGATCGCAATGGCAGTTTTGGTGGGCAGTACAGTGACTGCCGGGACCCAGTCCAAGAGCGGGGCTCCCTTGATGGCTTCATGCGGGGCCGGGGACAGGGCCAGGGCCGCTTCCAGGACCGCTTCCAGGACCGCTTCCAGGACCGGAGCAGCGCCAGCACTTTCATGCGTAGTGACCCCTTTATGCCACCCTCAGCCTCTTCTGAGCCCCTATCTGCTTCCTGGAATGAGCTGAACTACGTGGGTGGACGAGGCCTGGGAGGCCCCTCCCCCAGCAGGCCGCCTTCTTCCGTCTTCTCCCAGTCTTTGGCCCCGGATTATGGCATGATGGGCATGCAGGGGGTGGGCACTTATGACAACACCATGCCTTATGGATGTGGCCGGTCACAACCTCGGATGCGGGATCGGGTAAGCTCTTAGAAAGTTCCATCTGGCCTTGGTTTTCTTAACAGCATTACTGAGGTAAAGTTTACATACCACAAGATCCACTTGATTTTAACTGTACAATTCCACTTTGAGTAAGGTTATAGGATTGTGCCATCATCAACACAATCCAGCTTTAAGGCATTTTCATTAATATAAAAATGGTTAGCAGTCATTCCCTATCCCCTCCCTTAGCCACTAACTGTCACTCACCTGCCTCCCCTGTCTGTGGATTGGCCTGTTGAACATTTCATACTGAAGGACTCATGCAGGCTTGTCTTTGTTTGGTTTCTTTCACTGAGTTATGAGGTTTTCTTTGAATTTCAACATATTATATCTCTGCTTTTTGCAAAGATAGTTTCCTGCCTTTGTTCTCTGATCTTAGAAACACTGTTCTTCATTTCTGTGGGCATCTTAATGGCCCAGGTAAGCAGTACATGGGATGTGCTTGTATCTATAGCCCAGGAGGAGAGGGTTTGACCGCTTCGGACCAGACAGCATGGGCAGGAAGCGGAAGCAGTTTCCCACATATGAGGAGCCAGATGCCAAACTGGCCCGTGCTGACAGCGAAGGAGATCTTTCCGAAAATGGTACGCCCTGGGGGCTTGTGGTCAGTGTGGGCGTGATGTTGAGTCAGTTGCCTCCTGGGAACATATGGGTGGCCAAGTTCTCTCAGCCCCTACTTGTCACGGGTCAGTGATTTGGGAGAGCAAAAACAGAATGGGGCCACCATCACAGCTGATTTTTCCTGTTCTTTGTGTCTGGCAGATGAAGAAGCTGGTGACTTCCGGTCAGGAGATGAAGAATTAAGGGGTGTAAGTCCAACTTTATGGTCAGCCCCCTTTTTCTCAGTGGGATGTCTTTCCTCCTTTATTGTTCTTCCTCACAAAGTAGTGGGAACTGCTGCCCTGGTAGACTCTACTTGACTTACCTCTGGATTTGGTAACCTGACCTAGGTATCTGATGAAAATTTTTCAAGTGCAACCATCATCTTCCTTAAAAAAAGTTCTCTGGGCTGGCTCAACTGGTAGAATGCGTGCATGGCAAGTGTGAAGCCCTGAGTTCAAACCACAGTACCCCCTTCTCCCTGTACCCCCCCACTAAAAAAAAAACCTATCAGCTACTCCAGGGTCCTATGGTTTGGGTTCATTTTTTGCAGTGCTAGGGGGTAGGGTCTAATCCAGGGCCTGCTTTTGTCACTGAACCACATTTTTACTCCTTGATTTTTCAGCTTTTCTAAGTCTGTCTTGTTCCCATTTCAACTGGCTTAAATCTTCTTTTGGGAATCTCCCTAAATAAAACCCATTGTTAACTTAATCTTAGACTCACTGCCTAATTCATTGGCTCTGTTCAGATACTTAAGAATAATACACTTGATGTGTTAGAACACATCAGGAAAATTCCGTTTTCAATGAAGAATGCTAGAATTAGTATCGCACAGATTGGGGCATGTGTGATTGTTCATTCTACTGGAGGTTTTGAACTGCTGTGCTTGCTAGGCAGGCATTCTACCACTTGAGCCATGATTCCAGCCCACGGGGCTTCTTAACCTGCAGGTGGTAGACATGCTCTTGGCATTCTGAAGTGCAGAGCTGTAAAGAGAACTGAAAGCAAGTCAGTGACTTACAGACAAAAATGTCATCCTGACAGGCTCTGTTTCACAGCTCTGATCCTTACCTCAGACACTGTGGCTTATTTCTTAAAAGGCTCACCAACCTAGGCTAGGGCACGACCACCAGGTGGTGGCAAGAAGTTGGTCTGGTTGTGGCAAATTCTGGAACTACCACCTCACTGCCCGACTTTGCATGTGCCCTTTTTCAGGAGGACGAGTTCTACGACTCCGGGAAGCAGAGAGGTAGGCATACCCAGTATCCCTTACAGCTTTCCTGTGTTTGTTCCACACTTACTACTCAGCCTTGACTGGGCTCCTGAGCAAGCCAGAGCCTGCATGGAGGGACCTGCGGCTGGGATGGAGGGGCTGTGACTGCTTGGTGGGCTTAGACTATAGCAGTTGCTCTGAGGCTTTGCACGTGTCTGGGGCAGCATTTGTGGGAAATGAGTTCATTTGCCTCACTTGACATAGGTTGCAAGGTGGCTAGGGGGAAGCACATCTCTGGGTGTCTGTGACACCCCTGGTAGAGAAAGGAATTCCAGAAACCAAGGAGAAAGAAGGCCCCCCCGACCTATCTTCTGTGTCCCCTTCCAGCCAGTGCAGGTCCCTGTATTATTCTGTCCTGGGCTTCATTGTGTTCAGTTCTTCCTCAGTTGTGAGCCTAAGGCTGTGCCCTTGTCCTCTATGCCGCAGATACTCGCAGCTGCAGTGCCTGCAGACGTAGGACAAAGCAGATTACCTGCTGGGATTGGGAGCAAGGTAGTGGGGGCAACCTGCCTGGTGCACCCAGGCCTAGGTCACAAGAGATGGTCATTGCTCAGCAGGTCTCATCATTTCCAGGACAGGAGAACCCATAGCCCAAAGTGAGTAGCAAGAGCAGAACAAGGTTAGACCTTGTGGGGGGTATGGAGAAGCCTTGAGCACACCCAGAAGCCTCTTCTCTCTTTCTCTCTTCCTGGGTCTGCCCTAACTGGTTGCCCCAAGGATCACAGGCTGGCTCTGCTCTCATAAAGTGAAGGCCCTTGGCTTGGCTTCCCCTCTTAGGCTCTCAGGTTTAGCCAACTTCAAGTCCCCCATCCCTCATTATTGAAGCAGTTGTGTCCATAGCGCGGTTCCATACCAAGCGTTTAGCAACTCCTGCAGCCAGGCAAATGCTAAAGCAAAGGTGACATGTTTGTTGCGCACAGGTCCTGCTACCTACCCGGGATGACTTTGCTATTAAACAGCAGTCATAGTTTCAGGCAGTGACCTCTTGCCAAAAGTCCCACACGTCCTTTTGAGAGGCTTCTGAGCAGCGCACGCCGGTCGCCATCTTCGTGGGACAGTCTCGGGACTGGCATCAGGGGTAGGGGTTACAGTTCAGATGCTTATCCAACCTTTTTTCAGCATCCAGCCCTGGCCCTGAGCCTGGGGACCTGCCTGACATCATGCTGGGACGCTGACTGCACAGCTCTCTGTGGAGCTCCTGTGCCAGCCCCAGGGGACAGACGGGAAGACCAATTGGTCTTTTCCCATTTTTGTTTCTAGGATTGCTTCCCATGCATCCCTGGGAAAGCCCTAGGTTGGCGGTTTTTGTGAATGGAAGATAGAGATTGGGCCAGCAAGGACTGTCAGACCTGCTGAGGCCCTAGTTCAGATGAGGCCAACAGGATGGTCATCACAGCCCACCTAGAGGTGGGACAGAGGACAGTAGAGCAGCTTGCTTTATTTCCTGAGGCCTTTCAGCTGCTGCTCTATCTGGGGAGAATTGCTTCTCTCCTTGAGTGACAATGGGAGAAGACCCAATGATAGGATTGGACAAGCAGGCTGGGGCAGGACTGAGCAGGCGGGCCACATGTGAGTGGGATGGGCAGGCCTGTCCTAGCCCTATCAGGCCATGGGGGAGTGAGGTAACTCTTGGGTTCTCATTAAAGGTTCTTGTCTATCAGGAGCCTTTGACGGCCCCTCAGTGCCTTGGGGTGTCCCAGCCTTGCAATTGCAACCTGCAGAGGCAAAGACTGGGTACAGGTTGCGCTGGCCAAGCCACAGTCCCTAACATGGCCCTGGAGCTCAGCTCCTGCAAGCTCCTCAGAGTATCTCGAAGGTACTTCTCTGTTACAGGTGAAAAGGACGACGAAGACGAGGAAATGAAGAAGAGACGGGAAAAACAAAGAAGGAGAGATAGAACACGGGACCGAGCAGCTGACAGGTGAGGAGCCAATGGTTAGGCAGATGTGAGGAGTGACAGAATTCCACTGAAGGTGGTTGGATCAGGGCACTGTTCAGGCTCTCCCAAACTTGCCTGTCCCTCCTTTGGAGTACACAGGAGCCTGGTCTCATCTGACCCCACATGTCAGGAAAAATCTTAGCAAAGTTAGTGGGAGACAAAGCTTGGGTGATGAGTTGGGAGTGTGTAGAAAAGATGAGATTCTGCTTTTACTTGGAGAATCAACCTCTGTGGCCAACTTACCACCTATGGGATTGTGGCCTTGTGGGTGGGTCTGTGGACACATTTTGCCCAGCAGGGGACTCCTTTGCCCTCCAGCGGACCTGAGAGGTGTCCTGTCTTCTGACTTAGCATTTGGCATTCCAGAAAGTGACCTTCACTCAGCAAAGCTGGCAAGAAGGTGCTTTGGTGTCCTGTCTAAATTCAGATGATCTGGAATCAACATAGGACACACATACACATGGTCTTTCTATACAGAATCTGTCTTGAAATAGAATAAGAATATAAAAACACCAAACCCAGAGACTTTTGCTATTACTACACTGTGGGCCTGTCTCACAGTTCAATGATTAAATAGTTACCGACAAAAAACCAAATTCACCAGTGACTATACAAGTACCTGGTTGCTAAGGATTTAAACATACATGGCTGCTTCTCTCTAAACAGTTCTCTTTGTGACTTGATGGGGAGTCCTTACCTTAAGGCTCAAATGGGACCATGATTTTCCTAAGCAGAGAAATGTTTAGAGATACAGTAGAGGCCAGGAAGCCAGGAATGGAAAAATAGGATCATTTCTTTTGAAGTGGTACAGAAACTCATCAAAACCCTTGATTTCAATAGTTAAATGATAGGTAGATGGAAACTGAGATGATTTTCTATTTAAATTTGGTTTACGATGCCAGGGATGGAACCCAAGGACCTCAGACATGCTAGGCAAGCCTTCTATGACCTCAGTGACTTCAGTTTAGTTATTTTGTTAGTGTTTGAGACAGGGTCTCACTAGGGTCCCATGTAGCTCAAGCTATCCTTGACTCACAGTCCTCCTGAGTGCTAGGACTACAGACTTGTGCCCAGGGTTGCCTGGAAATTGCTATGTAGTCATGGCAGGCCTCAAACTTAGAATCTTGCCACAGTCTCCCTGGCTGTGTTCTGGCTCTGCACTAGTAACCAAGGATCTCTAAGGAACTTAGATTGTCACGGAGAGAAATAACTTCAGTAGCTTCCTGACAGCTCTGTGCATGGGACCTGTGGCATTCTCCTTTTCACTTTTCTATTGGTGGTGTCAAAAGCAAAGTCTCATGGTCCTTGTCAGAGATGCAAAGGGTTGGTGATGTTGCTCAGTTGCAGAGTGGTAGAGTGCTTGCCTAGCATGTGCAAGACCTGGGTTCTATCCTCAGCGCTGCAATAAATAAATAAACAGAAAGAATTTTTTACGCCTTTTCTTTACATTTAAAGTTCGTGGGAGAACTGATCTTGGGTTGTGTGCTTTGAATTGCATGAGGTCTTCAGAAATTTTTCTCTCACATAAAATAAGGTTGTCATAAATCATCTCTGGCTGCAGAGAGATGGTATGGAGTTAAATACTGGGGCTTCAGAGCAGTTTGCTGGAGCTTGGAGAGTCCACAGTTCTAAAGTCACCACCTTAGAAAGTTGTCTGAGGGGGCTTTGGGCCAGAGAGACTGCTATGTCACTCTGTGAATCATTTTCCTGAAGTACTTGCAAGCCTGTACAGACAGGTTTGGATATCTGCTCCTCAGTCTCTCTGTGAGAAGCCAGAAGCCTTGGTTCAGAAATCACTGTTCCTTTTCCAGTTCGGCTCTACCTGGCGATTCCTGCTTTACCACTCTTCATCTTCCTTCTCCAGGATTCAGTTTGCCTGTTCTGTGTGCAAGTTCCGTAGCTTTGAAGATGAAGAAATCCAAAAGCATCTGCAAAGCAAATTTCACAAAGAGACGCTGCGGTTTATAAGTACCAAACTGCCTGACAAGACAGTGGAGTTCCTCCAGGTAAAAGGACACTCAAGTTCTGCCATAGTGTTTCCTAAGAATCCCTAGACAGGTCCCTTGCTGAGGCCTGAATGTGGTCAGGGTTTCATTTTCCAGATTAGAACATCTGTACAGAGGACCATGGAGCTGCTCCAGTAGTGTCTTCCCACCTCTGTACAATTGGGAAATGCCATTCATGCTGTGCCATCTCCTGCCTCTTCTAGGAGTACATCATAAACAGGAATAAGAAAATTGAAAAGCGGCGTCAGGAACTGATGGAGAAGGAAAGCCCCAAACCCAAACCAGATCCATTCAAAGGTGAGTTGGGATGCCTGGGTGCAGGTTACTCTGGGTGCCCCTATAGCATGGGACACTTAAAACTTAGGAGGGCTCAGGTGTCAGTGGCTCACATCTATAATCCTAGCTACTCAGGAGGCAGAGATCAAGAGAATTTCAGTTTGAAGCCATAGTTCACAAGACCCTCTCTTGAAAATACCATCACAACAAAGGGCTGGTGGAATGGCTCAAGTGGTAAAGTGCCTGCCTAGCAAGCATCAGGCCCTGAGTTCAAATCCCAGACCACCAATTTTTTTTTTAAAAAGACTCAGCAGAAGCTGGGATATAGTTCAGTGGTACAGTGCTTGCCTGGCATGCGTGAGGCCTTGGGTTCATTCAATCCCCAGCACTGAAAAGAAAACAAACCAATAGAACACAGGGCTGACAGGAATGTGAACTCAAGTCCTATGGGAAGAGTACTTAGTAATGGAAAGAAACACCAAGTTTAACCTTGTGGAGAACACAGCTCCACAAGCAGCTTATGGGAATAACACTTAGTAACCTGATGTTTTCCCCTTGGTGTAAAGAGAGAAGACTGGAAGGATGAGGAGAATTGACATGATGTAAAATTCCAGGATGTAGGTAGAGGCTGGGTGCCAGTGACTTGCACTTGTAATCCGTATCACAGTTCAAAGGTAGCCTGGGCAAAAAGCAAGACCCTATCTCAAAAATTACCCAACAGGAAAAAGGCTGGAGGAGTGACTCAAGTGGTAAAGTGCCTGCCTGCCCGCCTAGCAAAAAAAAAAATCTGGAAGTGTGCGGTGTGTTCTGACCCCACATTCCTATAGGGCAGGCCATGCCTATCTCACATTCAGTCCTAACTGAACCTTCAGTGTTGCCGGGATATGTGGGCCTTGTTGGGGGAGGAAGAAAGCATCACTTGATTGGCTTCCATCACAGGGATAGGCCAGGAGCACTTCTTTAAGAAGATAGAAGCCGCACACTGCCTGGCCTGTGACATGCTGATTCCTGCACAGCACCAGCTCCTCCAGCGGCATCTGCACTCAGCAGATCACAACCACAACCGCAGGGTGAGTCCCCTTTTAACACAAGCATTCCTGGGCTTCCATTACTTGCTTGTTAAGATTCACTGCAGTTTCTAAAGCCAGGTGTGCTAATGCACACTGTAATCTCAGAACTGTTGAGACTCAGAGAGGAGGGTTGCGTTCGAAGTCAGTCTGGGCTATATGACAAGACCTTGTCTAAAAAACAAGGGCTAGAGATGTACCTCAGTGGTAAAGTACTTGCCTAGCATGTGAAAGGCCCAGGGTTCCATCTCCAGCATCACAAGGGAAAAAACAAGTTTCTGTTAAAATGTAAGCTTAATGTGGTGGTGTATACTTGCAATCTCAGCTAACTGGGAGGGTGAGGTGAGATGATCACTTGAGCCCAGGAGTTTGAGGTCGGTGTGTGTAACATAAACATAGTGAGATTCTGTCTCTTTAGAAAAGAGAAGGAAGAAATTTGTTTAGAACAGCTGAAGTTCTCTTGATTTAAGAATGTTCCTTGTGCTGGAAGCCAATGGCTCACACCTGTATTCCTAGCTACTTAGGAAGCAGAAATCAGAAGAATTGTGGTTTGAAGCCAGCCTAGGCAAATAGTTTGAGAGACCCTATCTCGAAAATACGCAACACAAAGAAAAAGGGATGGCACAGTGGCTCAAGTGGAAAAGCTGGACTTCTGTAAGCTTAGGCTTACTGTGATTCAGAGTCAAGTGGCCTGGGGGGACTTGAATTTCAGGACGAGTTTGGTCCTTACTAGCTGATGGTGTCTAATGTTGAATGTTTAATCCAGGGGCCAGCAACTTACTTTTGTAAGAACTCAGTTCATAAATGCAGTTGGCCTTCCTTACCTGTGAATTCCCCACCCATAGGTTAGACCAACTACAGATTGGAAACATTGGGGCGGGGCGGGGGTGGGGGAGGTTGGCTCTGTCGTGAACATGCACAGGCTTTCCTTGTTATTCCCTAAACACATTATAGCAACTGTTTATATAGTATTTCCATTATGTTTGGCTTACAGTCTTCTGAAGTATAGGGAGGATATGAGTGAGTTTTATGCAAATACCACTCCCATCTTATATAAGGGACTTGAGTGCCCTTGGGTTTTGTTATCTGAGAAAGAAGCTGGAGCTGATCCTGGCAGACACCAAGGGATGACTGCATTTTCTGCTCTGTGGGCCATGTGATCTGTATCCACTGACAGAACTGCTGTTGATAGACAAAAGCAGCCACACATGATAAGAGTGGATGTGGCTCTTCAGTCCCCCTGGCTCAGCATCTCTGTCTTTACCTGGTTAATAATAAGAAGACATAAGTAGCTGCCACCCATCTTCCAGTATTATTAAGAATCTGCAGAAAAGTAGTCTATGAGCAAGGGAATGTGCACGCTAGGTCTTAACACATCCCAGGCTAGCCTTGGAACTCTTTGTCCTCCAGCCTCAGCCTCCTGAGTGCTGGGGTAACAGTTCTGTGCCACAGGCCTGGCCAGTGCAATCATCAGACTTTTACTGTTGAACTTGTTACGAAGTCAGTGTAAACCCCCAATACTGAAAGGTCTTGCCTGTTTTCCTACGTAGTCTACATAGCTTATTTGTAAATGTTCTTGCTTCAGCCTTTCTTCTGTTCTGGTATATGGGTGTCAATGCTGTCTGCTTTCATCTTACGATGACCAAACTTTCAGCTTATGATGATCAAACTTTTCTGCTTGGTTTCACTATCTCTATTCCAAAGGCTCTGGTGCCTGATTTCTCTCATTCTTGCAGCCTGGTGTTGAGATTTGTCTCAGTGAAGAAGAGGGATAGTTGTCTGTCAGGACAACTTGGTGTAGCCCTCCTGGTTTGTTCTCTGGCTCTTCTTCACCATTTTAAAAAACTCTGGTTGCCTTTGCAGTTGGCTGCTGAACAGTTCAAGAAAACAAGTCTCCATGTGGCTAAGAGTGTTCTGAACAACAGACATATCGTGAAGATGCTGGAAAAATACCTCAAGGTTTGTGCTTGGGAATCCAGTGGGCAGGAGAAGAATGATTATATCCAGGGTGCAGTATTTAGCATTTCTGAGTCTTTTGAAGAATTGAGGGATGGCAGAATGCATCAGTCTTGGTATATGTGACAAATGGGGATGTCCAAAGACTCGGTGCCTACTTGGGAACTCTAGGGTGGGTGCTGCTTGATGAGTGGTGGTGTAATGGAGAGTCTCACCATAAGAAACCCTGATTGTCTAGCCATAAAGAGCTGAGCAGATCATGGTGAAATGTTTTTTAAAAACATCCAAGCCAAATGTGGAGCACATGCCTATGTTCCCAGCTACTCTGGAGGTTGAGGCAGGAAGTTTATTGGAACCCAGGAAAGTGTGAAATTGGGGCTGAGGGTGTAGCTCAGTGGTTGAGCATGTGCTTTGCATGTGGGAGACCCTGGATTCAATCCCTGGCATCAAAAAAAAAGAAAAAAAGTCCAAGATAATTTTGGTGAAGGTTTTCTGAGATATCTTTTCTGAGACTAGGCTGCAAGAACCTGAAGGACTGAAGGATTAACTTTCATGGTATAGTTTGGCACTAATCTGTGTTTCCCCTCTGTCCAGGGTGAGGACCCTTTCACCAATGAAACTGTAGATCCCGAAATAGAAGGAGATGACAATTTAGCAGGTGAGGATAAGGAAGAGACACCAGAGGAGGTGGCTGCAGAAGTCTTGGCAGAGGTGATCACAGCAGCTGTGAGGGCTGTAGAGGGGGAAGAAGAGCCAGCTGCACAGCACGGTGAAGGGCCAGCTGAAGGGGAAGGCCCCGTGGACATAACCAAGGCCAGTAGTGACCCCCACACTGAACAGCCCCTGGAAGAACAGACCTCCTGTGGGACAGCTTCTGAGGAGGAGGACACGGAAGGCAAGGCCAGAAGCCAGGCAGTGATGCCACTAGCAGAGACAGAAAGCACCATAACTGTTGCTGCTTCTGTCCCCACTGCCACAGAAGCTGAAGTGGGGCAAACTTATGCTGAGTCCAAAGATGATATTCCCGCAGAATGATCTTTTTTCCCTGTTTCAAGGGATGTTTTATATAATATGTTGCTCTTTGTTTGGTTTGTAAGCAGTAGGGTGTGTGTTACTGGAATATGCTGTAAAGTACCTTTGGTGAAGTCTCAGCCATTTCTTTTCTAAACTGTGTTCTTCATGGCTTGTTCCACACAGTCGTGGGGCTTCCCACCTCTGTTTAAAGGCTATGGAAGCTGTACATTTCCCAGAGCTGCCTTGATGGGGTTTCTTTACACTGCAGTTATAGAATAATAAAATTTGAGTAATTAGATACTTTGTGATACTTTGCTAAATTCAGTCACTGGCTAAACGTGTTTTTTGGGGTAAGTGGGGGACTCAACATTAGGATTGTATCTTATTTTATGTGGGTTTTTTTTTTTTAAGTTTTAGGCATTTGCTTTGACTCTGGTTTTTTTTCTTATTTGATTCTTTGTTTCATAGTAGTGGGGATTGAACCCAGAGCTTTGCTCTTGCTAGGCTTGTTATACCACTTCAGTTATATCACCCAGCCCCTTTTTGTTTTGTTTTTGAGATAGAGTCTCACTACCTTTGCCCTGGCTAGCCTCAAACTCTCCATTCTCCTACCTCAGCCTCTAGCCCTGGCTTGGCTTTGATTTTACAGCACACTTTATGGCGTGTGACCTTCAGCATGTGGCAGAATCACGTTAACGTGAGAGTGGCCATGTCCACATTAAGGACACTATCCCGGGCTGGATCCTGATAAATACTGCCCCACTGCAATCACACCAGCCCCCATCCCCTGTGGAATAACTTTTATAATAGTTTACCTAGTTTGTGCTCCACCTCTCCATTACTTCAGGTTTTTTTCTTTAAATTGAGTTACTTTCACTTTAAGAAAACTTGTCACTCCCGTGGATGGAAAGCCAATTTAAGTTTCCATGGACAGAAGCTGTCTGTAAAAACTTAATACAATTAACTGAACATGTTTCACTTCAGGTAATATTTCTGCATCTGTGAGAAGTGGAGGCTAGCAGGTGGTGAAGATAGCACACACCTGTTTACACTTTTCTTGTAATCGGAATTCCGGAACATTTCCCTTCTAAAATGAAACTGCTGTGTCCATTTCTCTGCAAACCTTTGAGCCGTATACTATAGCTCACATCTTGGGGAACACTGGCTAAGTGGGAAGTCATTAGAAGAGGCAGTAAGGTATTTGATGAGCATCTACTGTATACCAGGTGTTAATTCAGGGACTTACTGGAGATGCAGAGTGAACATGGTGAAAAAGTCAATATTAGACTGAAATCAGTGGCTCAATAACCAATAAAATGGTGCCTCTGAATCACTTCTGCTCTTTTTCCTTACTGCTGCATAGATGTGGCCTAATCAAAGGCTGAGCTTGCCCTTTGAACTTTGTTTTGGGAGATGGAAGCTACAGTCTACCAATGAGCCACATTCCCATTCTGCCTTGATCTCCAGTGCTGGGATGACAGGTGTGTACCACCATGCCCAGTGGCAAATATGTTGGTAATATTGAACGCCAGCAGTGTGAAAAAGAATTAACAAAGCTATGATCTACTGTGGTTTTGTTTTTTTGTTGGGACTGGAGTTTTGAACTCAGGGCTTCACACATGCAAGGCAAATGCTTTACTGATTAAGCCACACCTCCACTCTATTTTTACTCTGGTTATTTTGGAAATGGAGTCTCAGGAGCTATTTGCTTGGGCTGACCTCAAACCTCAATCCTTCTGATCTCAGCCTCCCAAGTAGTTAGGATTATGGGGGTGAGCCCAGCTAACATTTATCAATTATTTGCCTCATTCGAGGAGAAGAAACCTAAGGAGAAAGGTAAGTAATTTCCATGGTCACACATTAGTGATATGGTTGTATCCAAATTAGTAGGAAAAGTAGGTGATACCAATGACCAGGAACTTGCCATAGAGCACCTTTATTTAAAAGTGTCTAGCATGTGCTGGTGGCTCGGGAGCCAGAGGAGTCACACCTGTGGCTCTGAATGAGGTTCTTTAATAAACAACATTATTGCTAGGACCATGGCTCGAGTGGTACAGCACCTGCACACAAGTACGCGGCCCTGAGTACAAAATCCAGTGCCGCAAAAATAAATGAATAAAAATTGAGCCACTTCCTTCCATCCACAGGGACACAGGTCTATGAGGCTAGTTGGTTTTCCACAGTCAGACGTAATAATCTACACCTACTTCCTACAAAACACCACTTGTAGGGCTGGCGGAGTGTCTTCCTAGAAAGCAAGAAGCCCTGAGTTCAAACCCCAGTTCCACAAAAAAAAAAAACCCACTTGTAGCCGTAAGGGTGGTTTGCACCTGTAATCCTAGCTACTTGGAAAGCTGAGATTGGAAGGATCCAGGTTCAAGGACAGCCTGGGCAAATAGTTCATGAGGACCGCCCCCCATCTCCAAAATAACCAGAGCAAAATGGCCTGGAGGTGTGGCTCAAGCAGTAGAGCACCTACTTTCCAAGCTCAAAGCCCTGAGTTCAAACCCCAATCTTAACAAAGACATACACAACTACTTGTTTAATATATAGGTAATAAATGAGAACTATGTTTGGGGAACAATAAGGTAAGTAAATGGAGCAATCTGTTCACCCTGGGATGTTGGGTGCTTACTATGCACAGGGCCACAGGTTCTAGGCCCTGTATGTACCTCAAGCCAAAAAGTGACTTACTTTCTGCCCCTATCCCCCTTTTTTTCTGAGTTAAAATTCACATTACTAGAAGTGAACCATTAACCATTTTAAAGTGAGCAGCGTCATTTGGCACATTCTCAGGGTTTTGAAATCATCACTTTTATATAGTTGCAAGACATTTTTCTCATAGAAGAAAATCTCCATATCCATTAAGTCACTCCCATTTCTTTTTTTTTTTTTTTTTCCTCCCTTGGGTCACTCCCATTTCACTTGGGGAAACACACCTGTGGAGGTTGAGGCATGAGGATTTCAAATTTGAGGCCAGCCTGGGTTACATAGTGAAATGCTGTCTCAAAAACAAACACAAAGCTGGGTGCTGGTGGTGCATGCCTGTAATCCCAGCTACTCAGGAGGCAGTAATCAGGAGAATTGCAGTTTGAAGCCACCCCTGGGCAATTAATTCTGAGAGACCCCATCTTGAAAATACCTAACACAAAAAAGGGCTGATGGAGTGGCTCAAGGTGTAAGCTCTGAGTTCAAACCCCAGTACGGCAAAAAAACAAAAACACAAGCAAACAGTCATTTCTCATTACCCCTCCACTCTCTGGATTATCTATTTCTGCATATTTCATAGAGAATCATACATGAAAAAAATCAGTTCTTTCAGACTAGTTTTATGTCAGTATAGTTTTTCAGGTTCCTCTTTGTTGTAGAAGCAAGTACCAGAGTTTCACTCCTTAAGGTTCAATAATATTCCAGTGTATGGATATGCCATATTTTGTTTATTCGTTTGTCTGATTAATAAGGGTTGTTTCCACTTTGTGTGTATATGGGGGGCCACTGGGGCTTGAACTCAGGGCTTCCATCTTGCAAAGCCACTTGAGGCATACCTCCAGTCCATTTTGCTCTGGTTATTTTGGAGATGGGGGGGGCGGGTCTCACAAACTATTTGCCCAGGCTGGCCTCAAATCATGATCCTCCTCATCTCGGCCTCCCAAGTGGCTAGGATCACAGGTGGGAACCACAGCATCAGGCCCTTTCCTCTTCTTCAGGTCTTCATTAACTTCTATAGCAGTGTTTGGTAGTCTTCAGTGTATAATTTTCCACTTCTCTCACTAAATGTATTCTGTTTTATTCTTTTGATGTCATTGTGAGATGGAATTGCTTTCTTTTTCAGATTGTTTGTTGCTGGTGTTTAGAAATACAAGTGAGACTGGCGGTGTGGATGAAGTGGTAGAGTGCCTGCTTTGCAAGTGTGAAGCCCTGAGTTCAAACCCCAGTCCCACCAAAAAGAAATACAACTGATTTCTGTGTTTCAATTTTGTATTGCTCAACTTTATTGAATTTATTAGCTTTAATAATTATGTGTGTATTCTTTAGGATTTCCTACCTATAAGATCATGTCATCTGTAAATAGTTTGGATGTCTTTTATATCTTTTTCTTGACTGATTGTTCTGGCTGGAACTTTCAGTACAATGTTGGCATCCTTGTAACATTTCTTTCCTTCCTTCCTCCCTTCCCTCCCTCCCTCTCTTTCCATTCCTGTATTCAAGCAATTAGCTTGGGAGGCACACACCACTGTACTTGACCCATAACTTTTTGGGGGGGGTAGGGGGGAAGGGGTGAGATACTGGGGATTGAACCCAGGGCCTCACACATGGTATGCGAGTGCACTATAACTGAGCTATATCCCCAGCCCTCAACGTGTTTTCCTTTTGTTTTGTTTTGTGGTATTGGAGTTTGAACTCAGGGCCTCCTCCTTACTAGGAGGCACTCTACCACTTGAGCCACACCACCAGCCCAGCTTGCCTTTTTAAAGTATAAATTTACATCCCCAGTAATCTTTCTCCTGACTAAATCCCATTACGTTCGTGTGGAAGAACATTTATTCCTGAAAATACAATAATTGCAGCCATAGATTGAAGCTGGAGGTTTTGAATAAAGAACATAAAGTGCGGGGGGGGGGGGGGCGTAGCTCATTGGCACAGCACATTCGATCAGCATGAGTAAGGCCCTGGGTTCAGTCCCCACACCAAATAAATCAAGTAAATACTATGTCCTTTGGGTACTAAGGTTATGAGTCACAGCTCAGCATGGTGGGTATTTTAGTGCCTGTAGGGAACAGTCCACAGCTACTCACTCAGGACAAATCCTGAACTTGCCCTATGGGAAATGCCTGTAGATTTTAGCTTTTCAGATGCCAACAAGGACTTGGGAACATTTAAATAGATACGAAGATACAGAGTTCATAGATACATGCAAATTTCCCTTATTTGCTGCCAAGAAAAGATCTCTGAAAGAACTACTGAGTACAAGTGGTGTCATTTCTAGAGATAACCCTCATGGGCCAGTGACTAACTGTGAACTCCCTTTTGCATTGGTGTCCTAAAGGAAGTGTGGCCTCCTTAGAGAGACACAATTCCTCCCTGATAGCCCTCCACTAGAGGACAAGAATGATGGTTCTGGTGATTATCTCAAGTGAACTAAGACTACAACAGTTCAATTCCAGTGTTTGGAATACACTTTGTCTAGTTCAACAATGGCAAAAGCAAGACACTAAAGGATAGGGAAGAATGTTCTTGCTGCCATTCATCAACTCAACTTTG